TTCCTTGGAACTGAAACATGGTTTGGACAGATAAACTCTACTCTCAAGCCATGTGAACAACCATTAAAGGGACCATGCATAGTAGATACATAATATTTTTTGTTTTCTATTTTCCTATTTTTATTTTCTAGTGCTCCACATTCTGGAGATCCACTGCCCACAGCTCCAGGAAGCATTAGGCAAATGCTAGCTAGATTAACAAAGATTGGAGAGGGGAGCTATAGGAATTCTATCCAAGGGGTATTTGCATCTCCAAATGAAGGGTTAGTTAAATGACTCACCTCTTTTCATGCACTCCTCTTTACCTAGATAAGCAGACAAAGAACCCAGTTTTCCTTATGTGCGTATGGAGACATCTGACAAGGGTGTAACCTTATTAACTACTCTGTTTTGGGTGACATGGAAAATGATGAAGCTACATATTATTCTCTTCATCATCTTCTTTGTACTATCTGTGGAGTTAGGAGGGACCAGTTTTTTCCATCATGAAGTCAAAGAGTTAAGCTACCGGATTCTTCTCCCATTTTCTCATTTCATCAACTCACATTAATTATGTGGCTACTGAGTGCAAAATATTGTTCTAAGCACTGGTACTTTGATCTTAGTGATATATTTTTTATTGTCTCTAGTCGACACTCCTGATTCTTCAGGACTTTGACCAAAATGTCACAGAAACATCTCCATCCCAGAATCTTCACATTGGAAATGCCTTCTGCCACTGAGGACTCTATTGCTGCTTGGCTAGTTCCTTCTAGTACTTGTCTTTTAAGGAGGAAGCTCAGGCCAGTCACATCTTCATTCCTTACCAGATCACGCCCCTGACTCTTCTGGACTTTGTCTATAATCCCACTGCATCTTCTGTTTCCTTTTTTTATGTCTTCCCCTGTTAGACTATAAGCTAGAGTATAAGCTCCTTGAGGGGATGTTCTGTCTTTCTGCTTTTATTTAGATTCCTAATACTTAGCATAGTGCTTGGCATATTGTAAACATTTAATAAAAACTTGTTGATTTGATCTAATATGGCTCCTTCCTCCACCAATGTATATTTAAATCTCTTCAAGCTTTCTTGTCTTTTGCAAATTTTATCCCTGTTGTCCTGTACATCATCCTTAGAGTATGCATCAGATCACACACAGATAGCACAAGACAGAGCCAGAATGTCAACCCAGGTCTATCAACAATTCAATTGTACCATATTGCCTCCTATATGATTTACAAAAGAGTTCTTCCCTCCCCCCCCCGTAATAATGGATTCCAACTCCAATGGGCTGGCCATGTTATTTGCATGGCAAGCATATGTTTGCCTAAAAGACTATTTTAAAGAGAACTTACACAAGGCCAAGTGCTCACAGAGAGGTCAGAAAAAGCTATACAAGGACATTCTAAATGGGTGTGTATTCTAGGAATGCAACTTCATTTCAATAAGAACAATTTCTCTAATTTTCTCAGCTTTTAGGTTCATGTTTCTTGCTTCTATCAGCACTTCCCAATTGATTCTTGAAGTTTAGAGGGATCTTCCCTTTCTTTCTCCAACTGCCTTTCTATATTCTATGAAAGGAAGAGGCAAAGAAAAGAACACTGGTTTTGGAGTCAAATGGCTTGAATTCAAATCCTTTCCCAGATGCCTATTACCTATATGGCCTTGGATGAATCACTTAACTTTTCTAGGCCTCATTCTTTCTTAAGAAGTGAATGGGTTTGAATAGGTCAGGGGTACTTAACCTGGGGTCTATGAACTTAAAAAGTATGTATTTTTTGATAAATATTTCTATATAAATGGTTTCCTTTGTAATTCTACATATTTTATTTTTCACTTAAAACATTGGTTTGAGAAGAGGTCCATATGCTTCACCAGACTCCAAAGGGGACTCAGCCCCAAAGAAGGCAAAAAAAAAGTGGTTTCTGAACTCCTTTCTGGCTGTATATTCCTTTGATCCTTCCATGGCAGCTGATCAGGAACATAAAAATTACCCGAGGCTGTTTCTTACAATCTTCCATCAAGAAGTAGTTAAAATTAACTGCTAAAGCAGGGGTTCATGACCTTTTTTGGGTCATAAACACCATTGGCTGTCCAGTTAAATCTATATTCCCTGACTCAGAATAATGTTTTTAAATGCAGAAAATGAAACACACATGATTACACCGGAAGCCACCTTTGTTGAAATACAATTACCAAAAAAACCAAAAACAACAACAAAAAACCCCACCATATATTTTAAAAGAACTTAAGAAACTGTGTGAAGGTTTCTCTTATTTTCTGATGTCTTCTATTGAAAACATTCTGTCAATGAACAGTGTGAATCTCTTTATCCTTGCTTTCTGTATGGGAATAAAATGCCCTGTCTCATACTCAGTTCACTTGATGCATTGGGCACCTTTATCTCCTCCCTTTTTGGGAAATCCTAGACTAGAGCCAAAAATAGACTTGTGGGTGTGATGAACCAAATGACTGTGAGAAATGAGGAACCTATTTCTCCTATTGAGAAGTCAAGGTTTCTCCAGAGCTAAACCTTGGGCAAACCATGACATTAGGTAAAGAGGAGGAAAAGAGGAAAGAAGCATTTATATAGCACTTACTATATGTCAGGCTCTATGCTGAGCACTTTTACAAATATAATCTCATTTCATAATCACAACTCTGTAAAGCAAGTGCTATTATTATCCCCATTTTTGCAGTTGAGGAAACTGAGGCAAACAGAGGTTAAATGACTTGCCCAGGGTCATAAAGCTAGTAAGTGTATACAGCTGGATTTGAATTCAGGTCGTCCTGACTGCAGACCCAGCACTCCATTGTGCTACCAGCTGCCTCTTAAGGACAGAGTTTGGCGCAGTTCAGCAGTTCCTATGGCCACGGAGAAGCAGAGCAATACTAGCTAGTCAATTACACTAGACAGGATTCTAGGTTTCTGAGTTTTTATTTCCTTCATTTTCTAGCCTTAGTTCCAAGTGTGGAGACCCAAATTGAGACAAGTATTTCCCATTCTGATCCCAAAGGTTTATGGAATCATAGATGATTGTTGCTGAAGGGATCTCAGTGGCTGCTTGTGACAACTTATTCCTGAGTACTAATCGCCACTAAAATATACCTAATGAGTGATCTTCCAGCCTGTGTTTTAAGAACTTCAGTCATTTAGAAATCAGACCTCCTAAGGTAGTCCATTTCATTTTGAGGTACCTTTAATTTTCAAAAAATTTTTCTTTTCATAAAATGAAAATCTGTTCCTTTTTGATTTCTGTCCATTGCTCATAATTCTGCCCTTTTGGGACAAGTAAAAAAAAAAAACCCAATCAAATTCTTCTTCAAATATTTAAGAACTGGTATTGTTCCTTTTTTTTATTTTCCAGATCAAAAAAAAACCAGTTTCTTTAGCCAACTCCCAAACAGAATGCTTTCCTGTTTCTTTACCATCCCTATGGTTTTTCTCTTTTCAACATTCTTTGTTGAGAACTCACGACCTCCTAAGGTAGCCTATTTCATTTACCGAACTCTGTCCCTTTTTAGTTTCTGTCTGTTGCTAATAATGCTGCCCTTTGCACACAAGAAAAAGACCAAACCAAATGAAAACAAATTCCTCTTCAAATATTTAAGAACTGCTATTATTCCTCCCTCCTTTCCCACTGTTTTCTTTTTTTCCAGGCTAAAGAAACCCAGTTCCTTAAGCTAACCCTCAAATGAAATTGTTTCTATCTCTTCACCATTCTGATGGCCCTTCTCTTTTCAGCATTGTTCCTAAGATGTCACATCTAAAACTGAACATGGTACTTAAACATGCCCTGACTAGGGCAGAGAACAATGGAACTTGAAATCTCCCTGATTCTGGACACCATAATTCTATTAATGCATCTTAAGGTCATAGTAGTTCTTTTGGCTGCCACATTATGTTGAGTTTGCTGCCTTTTTTATACAAATTGTTCTCTGGCCATTCCTTTTATGGGTTTTGGGTCACCTTTAATTAATATATTATTACTTCCTTCATCCTCCTGGATGTTTGATGGGTCTGACACCTGTAATATTTCAAGTACCTTTCACACATTTATGTCTATTCTCATTTTCCTGAAGTAAATTAACTAGCTGGTTGTTATGTCTGGTTTTATTCTTGACTCCAATCCTCCAGAGCCTTCCTGAAGGGATGCCTGGCTTCTCCATGCTATTCTCTGTAAAGGTCTCTGGTAAACTCCAATTGACTTTCCTGTTAGAAGCTTACACTCTTTCCAGGGCACTCCCTTTCCATGTCTCTTTTTTCTGGGTCAACTTGGATTCCTAGTTCATTTTCAAAACTGAGATTATTAACAGGTTTACCATTTGTGCTCTCTTCCCTGTTTGTTCATCATTAGGTAAAGGCCACTCCTAGAGGAGTGTTCATCGTTGAAAAAGAACATTTTGTACATATAGTCACAAAAAAGGTAGTTCTTTCTCTTACCCTTGCCTATCATAAGCCCTATACTCTAAGTGTTGGCAGGTCATCTGGAGGAATAGTCGTGTTTTCAGGGAGTAGGTTTGGGAGGCAGCTTGGTATAGTGAAAGGAGCACTAGCTCTCAAATTACGGGATATGGGTTGAAATCTCACCTGATATTTAATACCTCTGTGACCTTGGGCAAGTCATAATCTTGCTGGCCTTCAAGGTTTTCATTCACAAAATTTGAGGATGGGATTAGACAGCCCCCAAAGACCCTTACAGCTTTTGATTAATAATATTATGACAGAAAAGCTCAGTTTCCATGACAGGAGCCCAGAGAAATTATTTTCAGTGATCCAAGCAAGATATGCAAATCACACACAGTTGAAAAGAGCAATTGTAATTGAGGCTGGTGGAGATTTGCATCCACACAGAGCTGCATGGACCTTCCCTCTCAGACCTCACAGTGTTCTCTAATTATACTGTAGCTTGGAGAGAAAGACTAGAGCATTCTCCCTGCACATCTCAAGCAAAACAGGAGCTCCATGAGTCAGAGGCCAGCAGAGACCTAAGCAAGAACAGTCATTGTAGGAAGTACTGAAATGGTGGGGCCATTCACGATCTTCTCCATGGTTCCCTTTGTCCTGTTGTGCTCCCTAGGGATCATGGCTAATGGCTTCATTGTTGTGGTACTGGGAAGGAAGTGGGTTCAATGCCACTGGCTGTCTCCCTATGACGTGATCCTGATCAGTTTGGGTGCCTCCCGTTTCTGCCTGCTGTGGCTTGGAATGATACACAACTTTTACTATTTTCTTCACCACCTACAATATTTCAAGGAACCTGCCTGCCAGTTCTTTGGGATTTATTGGGATTTTCTGAATTCGGTCAATTTCTGGTTTGCCACTTGTCTTAGCGTTCTCTTTTGTGTGAAGATTGCAAACTTCACTCACCCCATTTTCATTTGGCTGAAGTGGAGAGTCAATAGACTGGTACCCTGGTTCCTACTAGTCTCACTTTTAATCTCTTTCATTGTCTCCATGCTGTTTTTTGTGGGTAACAATGCTTTGTACCAGGCATTCTTGAAGGGGACATTCTCTGGGAATATAACCTTATATGACTTCACTAGGAGTCTAGAAATCCACTATTTTTTCCCTTTGAAACTCATTACATTGTCTATCCCCTCTTCTATCTTTCTAGTCTCGATAGTTCTTCTGATTACCTCTTTGCGGAGACACTCCTGCAAAATGCAACATGGTGCCCACAGTGCCCAGGATACTAGTACTGAGGCTCATACCAAAGCTCTGAAGTCTCTGTTCTCCTTCCTAGTTCTTTATGCTCTTTCTTTTATATCTTTTATCACGGATGCTGCCTTTTCTGGCTTTGGGAGTTCCTGGTACTGGCCATGGCAAATTGTGATTTACTTCTCCATATCTGTTCATCCCTTCATCTTGATCCTTGGCAACTCCCACCTAAGAGGGGCACTCATGAAGCTTCTTCTTCTGCCTAAAACCTTCTGGAATGACAAGAGGATGTCATCTCCTATCTAAGATACACACCTCTCTCTTCCAAACAAAGAAAATACTCTACTGAGAACTGAGGCACAGTATATCCTTTGACCTCAAAGTTTTTATCCTATTGAAGTCTGGATAGAAATTAAACAATTTCCTCATTCATTATTCCCATACTCATGTAGTCAAATGAATCATGTGACCACATGTAGGAGTATGTGACTTCCAGTGAGGCCTTATTGATGTCTGTCCGTGCCTGCTCAGCCTGCTTCACTCTTGTCCTCCCTTGAATTCACCATGAGGAGTCTCCAACCTGCACATTGGAGACCTTCCTTCCTCCTGACATTTGGAGAGTGCCAG